TGCGTCGAGTTTTTCGTTCCAGTTTGCTGTTGCTGTTGCTGTTGCGGCTATCGTTGCTGCTGCTGCGGCTGCTCCCGCTGCTGCTGCTGCTGCTGCTACCACTACCATTCGTTTTATTATTCTCTTTTGGGCCGCTGTTGCTACCACTACGACCACGATGACGCCCCCTGCTGTTGTTGCTGTTGCTGTTGTTTGTGCTGTTGTTCGCGCTGTTGGGGTTGCTGCTGCTGTGGCTGCTGTTGCTGGCGCTGCCTCTTCTGTTGCGTCCCCTCAAATGCTGCAGTATTTCAGCTCTGCTGCCTCCAACATGCTTTGCTGCAGCAGCACCCGTACCAGCAGCAGCACCAGCAGCACCAGCAGCAGCAGCATTTGCAGCAGCAGAAACAGCAGCACTTGGCTCTATACCTACATGAGCTTCTCCCTTCATTCCTCCTACTACTCCATATTCTCTATCTATACTGTTTTTTCTTCCTTGCCTTCGCGCTCGTTTCAGCATAGAAAATTCATCTTCTCTTGGGGTGTATGCGGAGCTCACCACTGCGCCCCCCCCCCTGATGGGCGGCGCATCGACGGCCATTTCCTCTCTGTATATAAATATTTATATAAATTTAATTAATTAATTAATTAAAATTTATTTAATTAATTAATTAATTTCTTTTTTTTTCTGTTCAGTTTATTATATAAACGGAATATTCACATGCATACCGTGCCGATACACAAAACAAACCGAGAAACCACCAACAGGCAGAGAGAGAAGATAATAAAGACAAACAAACCAAAAGATATAAATACAGAGATTTATACACCCGCAGCAGCAAACAACAACACCAGCAAACAACCAAACGCCGCTTTCCCTGCTGCTGCTGCTGCTGCTGCTGCTGCTGCTGTTGCGGCTGGTGTTGTGGCTGCTGTTGCTGCTGCTGCTGTTGTGGCGTTCTCGCCACTGCGGCTGATGCGGCTACGGCCGCAGCCGCCGGTACTGAGGTTTTGTTTGCTGCTGCTGCTGCTGCTGCTTCGGGTGCTGTTGCCGCTGCTGCTGCTGCTGCTGCTGCTGCTGCTGCTGTTGACAGTGATAGGCAGCGTGGGGAGGGGTGGGGTAAAGACCGAATGCTGCGGGTTTGCGAGGGTTTGCAGTGTGGAGCAAGAAACGTTGGTTACGTTTGTTGGTGGTTTGAGTTTTGAGGGTTTAGGGTTTAGGGCTTGGGATCTAGGGTCTAGGCATCCCCGATGAAGGCAGGGGGGTTGCGTGTTGGGGGCCTGCAGCCTTTGCAGCACTTTCTCCTGCTGCTGCTGCAGCAGCTGGGATCGATCGATCCCCAGGAGAAAATGATGGCTCTGGCGGAGAGGAGAGGGCGGGGAGGCCTTAGCCGTCGCTCGTGTGCCAGTCTGCAGGCGGCATATTGGGTGGTGGTTTTGGGGTAAAACTAGAAAAAAAAAGAAGGAAGAAGTGTTAATTTTAAATGTATTTCCGAAAGAAATATATAAATTATTATAATTTACTCCCAATCGATGCAATCGCCCACACAGTGTTGATGAAAAAACAGCAACGCCGCAGCCAGCGCTCAGCTCCCGCTCATGGTCGCGTGCCTTTGTTTATTATAGGGTTTGTTTGTGTGGTGATGTGTTTACCTTAGTGCCTTTTTTAACTTATTTTTATTTTTTTTATCAATAAAAATACACAAAAAGATACATAACAACTTCTTTTCTCCTCAATTCATACTCTCGCTGCTGCACCTGCAAGCCTCCGTTCCCCGCGGTAGTAGTATACCGTTCCCCCAACCCCTGAGAGAGGAGAACAAGAGTAAAAAAGGATACAAAAACGCAGAAAAAATAAAAAATATAATATAATATAATTTACAAACTATCAATACAGCTAAATCCTCGCATAATACCTGAAAAGTAATTAACACCAACACAAACACACCGGTAGGGGAGTTGTAGTGCGTGTGCACTCCAATGTTTCTGTTCTTTTAGTAGCTCCGCTAGAAGAACATCTCTAATCAGTGTTTAATTAGATAAATATTCAGTTTTATTTTATATTTTTCACCGAGATACTGTAATACTTTAGCGTGGATTCCCCCTCGACGGCCGCCAGCCCCGGCAGCAGTGTAGCGTGGTTTGTTTGCCTGCAGTAAGCACACGAGCCTTCGCTTGGCCTTGGTAGGTTGCAGCTAAGCAAACACAGACGCTCTGTAGGTGTATTCAGAGCTAGAGCGTGCAGCAAAGGAAGCTTCGTTGGAGCTGACACGGAAGCTTCGATGAAGCTTCCGTGTGTGCACGCTTGAGCCTGGCTTGTATCGCCAGCTACAGCCGGTGCGCTCCCACCCCGTCCTAGGATGCTTCCTCCCCGCATCACCCAGGCGCTGCCATCAACACCGAGGAAGCCTGGGGAGAGGGGAAGGAGATCAGCTGCTTTGGGAAACTGTTAAGTCTTTACCTCCATTGCAGCTCGCTTCTGTCTTTCATTAAGGCCAGAGAGCAATCGTCATACTTTTGAGTACCGCATGGTTCATCGAACCTGCTCTTCCTAGCATAATACGTGAGTTTTACGTTCGGCCGGATCGTTACTAGCTGGCAATACTGCACCGCATGGGGGTCACTCCCGGAACAGCCCCCAGGTCCTTTCGAAGGTACCGGTGAGACCCACAACTTGAGCGTGCAGTCTATCAGCAAACAGAAAGCTGAAAAGAAAAGAAAAGCCGTCAGATACTGCCTTTGGAAAAAATCCGGTGCTGGCGAAGAAAAAGGCTGAAAGGCGGCGCATATACGCCGACTTC